GTGCCAAACTCCTTCACCACCTGGACACAGCGTCCAGGGGAGAAGACAGGGGCAACGCAAGCTCATCAAGCTAGTGTCCTACTTTTTCTGAAAGAAGTATTTATGTACAGGGCCATAAGATTGTCTGTTATGACCTTTTTAATGCTCCTTAAGTTAATGGTACAAGTTGTCGATGAGCAATACATGAGATATAGAGCAAGAGTACTGGTGAAAATACCTGAGTCTCCAACACATATTAATGAAAAGTATTACTATGAAACCTTCATGTCAGCACTATGTAGGTTATGGGTTTGTCTGCACACTATCTATCTTGCCATGGATTTTACTCAAAGAAGTTTAGACCAAGCCTGATCTTCAGTGGAGAAGCCATGGAATCATCCTCCTTGGAATGAGAAGAGAAAGACAGAACTAGTCCTTGTGATTCTGGAGTTGAGTCCTGAATAATGGTTTTCACTAGGTGCATCATAAGACAAAGACCATCCTGATCCAACAAGAGCAGAATGGGAATGGTATACATGAGCCCTGCTGGAAGCACTCCCAAGTGTGTGGATGAAGGGATGAGGGCCAAGTACAGCCCTGATCTGGCCCAGCCCAGCCCAGCCCAGCCCGGCCCAGCCTGGGCCGGCCTCACTGGGAACCCATCAGGCTCCCATAACCCCTGGTCGGGTGGGTTGCAGCCATATTTCCCAGGCATGTCCGAGGAGCCCATCTGAAAGGCTATTTCGGAGTGTTCTAAATCAGGTTTTGTGTTTTGGCAGAGAAATAGAACCCTCTTTTCTAATATTACTTCTGTGGGAAAGTGTTTTCTGAGCTGCAAACAACTCAACTTACAAATGCATTTTTGGAATATGACCCACTTACATGCTGAGGAACTGCCTGTGCTCAGAGGAAAATACTTTCCATGTACTGCTTGCTGGGACCAACTGCAGGCCTTTCTTACATTGATTTGATTCAAAAATATCCCATAATGTACCTGAAATCTGATGGGCACCCAGGCTTTCTTCTGGGAAGGATTGGCTGTACAGTTCCCCTATGGACAGGATTTGAGGATAGAAACTGACAGGTTGAATGGAAACTCCCTTGCCCAACTATTTAGTAATAATTAAACACTTTTTTTGTTGGTCGTGGGGCTTGAACTGTGGGTCTGGGCGCTGTCCCCCAGCTCTTTAGCTCAAGGCAAGTGCTCTACCACTTGAGCCACAGCACCACTTCTGGCTTTTTCTGCTTATGTGGTGCTGAGGAATCAAACCCTGGCCTCATGCATGCAAGGCAACCACTCTACCACTGAGCCACCTTCTCAGCCCAATTAAACGTTTTTTTAAAGGCAGGTCTTCTATGTGGATAGAAACTGTCAAGTTGGACCCATTTTTTTTTTTTTTTTGTCAAACCCCTGTTCTTAACTCCTGTTTTCACTTTTCAAAATATAGATTTCCAGATGGCTGTCCTGGAGACTTTCATTAAGTTAGATGGACAGGATTCCATAAATCTGTAGTTTTGTTTTTATTAAGATCTCCAGAAAATTCTAGTCAAGTTAGTTCTGATCCTAGACACTTACTGATGATTCACTGGTCGATGTGTTCAATCATTCTTCCATCATGAAGCAACGTTTGCTCATTGTTATGTAGGCAGCGGAAATGAGGGACAGAAAGATAAGACACGTATGCGTCATCAGAAAAGAAAGTGGTAGAAAAATACCTTTACCTTGCCTGGCATATTTATGGATTTGGATGACCAGGGCCTCCAGAGACCAAAGCAGCAGAGAGATAAGCAGTGGAGTATATTGGCTACTGTACCCTGGAGATAGATACCCTCTATCAAAGTCCAAGGCTACCCCTTACCAGCTTAGGAGTTGGTTAACCTTTTCCATGCCTCAGTTTTCCCATCCGTTAAATGGGGGACAATCGGAGGACTTTCCTTGGCCTCAAACTCTGGCATGCCTCAGAATCTCCCAGGTGACACCCAGGATTTCTCAGTCATCGATACAGAAAGGAACCAAGAACTTAACTCTTGGGACCATCTTCCTGTGCGTGGTGAGCAAGACTGAAAGCAGAGGCTCACACCAGCCAAGAAGAGAAACTGGAGGATAGATAGGAATAGATGGAGTCTCCCAGCTCCCAGCTAGGAAGAGCCCAGCTCAACTCAAGCGGAGATGTTGCCTGAAGACTTCAGTGGAGAAGCTATTCACACCTTAGCGTGAAGCAGTTTATCAGCATCTCTGTCACTTTGTCAAACCCTTAGAGATCTGCATTCCCATCTGGCAGATTGTGATGGTCCCAGGAAATTGGTGCTCCTCTAAAACCCACACCAACGAGTCATGGGCTTCACTAGAAGGTGCCACGGGTTCAGTCACTTGGTGTAGATTCTGGAGGTGGCTCCTCCTCCCCGGGGGACCTGTGTCTGCGTCACATGACCCGTGTCTCTGCATCACATGGAATTACTTGTTGGCTGTTAAAGGTCCTATAATTGGTCCCCAAGGGCTCCCTTCAAATGTATCTTGCTTTCATTTATTATTGTAGAAAGCATGCAATAACATTTGGAGATTTAGAATGTTCTGTCTCTTCAACCATCTACCTAGTGGTCTAATTTTCTAGACTATGAGCTATAGAAAATCCTTATGTCTACTCTAGACAACCACAGCACAACAAGAAACAACAGACAAAACAAAATACAACTCATCTATCTTTTTGTTGACTTGGATTTATGTTCTTTTTCCCTCGTAGCCAGAAACCAAGTTCCATTCCTTGTCCCTCCACCTCCTACTGTATGGAGACAGCAATCTTGCGTGGCTCGTCCAGTCTCCTCTCTCTATCCTTTACATGAAATCTCACTTCAATGGTTTCTAGGATCTTCACCAACTTGAAATTTTTCTTATCTGAATAGAGTCTGGCTTTTGTGAATCTATATTTCCATAGAATAATATTTTGGGGTTATAGAAGTGGTACGGTCATTGCGGAAGTCTTGGAAGCTTGGAAAAATACAGTTTAACACGAGGCTGGAACAAGGTAACACATGTAAAACCCTTTGCACAATGCCTGGCACATACACACCATGTCGTTTGCATGTGTTAGTGGTCATTTTCCTGCCACCCCAATCTAGGCATTTTTCCTCTTCTGATACTTCCTGTATATTCTCATCCGAGGGTCACAGTTCAAAGCCAGTCTGACCAGGAAAGTAGTAAGACTCTTATCTTCCTTAACCACCAAAAAGCCAGAGGTGAAGCTGTGGCTCAAGTGGCAGAGCACCATTCTTGCGCAAAAAAGCTAAGGTGCAGGACCCAGGCCCTGAGTTCAAGTCCCAGTACTGGCGTCGCGTGTGAGAGAGAGAGAGAGAGAGAGAGAGAGAGAGAGAGAGAGAGAGAGAGAGAGAGAAGCGAGAGAGAGAGAAAGAGAGAGAGACCACTTAATGTAAGGATGCTCTTTTAAACAATTCTACCCCAAATAGTTGATTCGCTTAAATCAACAAATACTTAGGGACTTTCTGCATCAATAGGAAACTTTAAAGTAATTTTCAACTTTGAAAATTATCTAACCCCATGGGCGTGTTAATGCAAATTAATTAGAGCCAAGGCCTGTGCGCGTGTGTGCGTGTGTGTGCGCGCGTGTGTGCACTTGCATTTCCTCTGAGCAAATCAAGAATAACCTTAGTGCTTCACGTTGTTTCCACGCAAATTGAGTATTGATGTGTGAGCCACGCGGGGGCCCTGCGGCTCCCACCCCTCCCTCGACCTTCGAGGAGGCTCCCGCTGTCCACGCTGTGCCACCCGGGAGCCAGGGCCCTTCCCTCCCGCGAGGCCAGCGCCCCGGGTTAAGGTTCAGGAGCCACAGACTCAGCCATGCACTAGGTACCTGCTCCATCCTTCACGCGGCTCCAGACCCCCACGCCACGTCCCTCCCCATCCCGCCCCGTCCCATGCCACCAACCAGTCCTAGCTAAGCCCGGCCGGGCACCTGCGGCCCCGGCAGAGCCGGGCACGGGGTCCACGCGGAGGGCGCCAGCGCCCCACCCCTGCGCCCACAGAGCGATGCCAGGCCCGCACACCACCCCTGCCAGGGTCCGAGCCGGGTGGGGGCCGTCACCTGGGAGGAGGCGGGTCTGCCTGTTCCCTACCCACGGTTTGCTTCTCTGCCCGACTCAGCTCTTACAGTGTTTGTGGGCGCTCCCCACCCAGCCCCGCTTCAGGATCCGCTTCCTACCTAGCCCAGCCCCCCTCCCCCAAAGCGCCCACCAGAACTGAACCCCGGAATTTCTCCAGCAGGAGACAGTGGCTGCTGTGGACAGGCCTATGTGCCTGGTCCCCAACGGGGATTCCCAGCTCCGGGCTGACAAAAGGGGTGTGGGGGAGACCCAGAGGTCCCCAGGTCCGGGCTCACATCTGGGGGTGTAGGGCCAGGATCCCGGGGTCCCCAGCTCCAGGTTCACATCTGGGGGATGGGGCCAGGATCCCGGGGTCCCCAGCTCCGGGCTCACATCTGGGGGTGTGGGGCCAGGATCCCGGGGTCCCCAGCTCCGGGCTGACATCTGGGGTGTGGGTGGGGACCCAGGGGTCCCCAGCTCCCTCCGTGCTGACATCTGGGGGATGGGGCCAGAATCCCAGGGGTCCCCAGCTGGGGCTGACATCTGGGCGAGGCCAGGGTGGGGTCCCCGGGACCGCGGGCGCCGGCGGGGAGGAGGTGGGCCGCGGCGGGCCGGGCCGGGTTTCCCAGGGTCTGATTGGCGGTTGGCCGGTGAGTCGGAGCCGGGGGCGCGCCCATCGCCGCGGTTCCGAGCCGGGCTCGGCCCCTCCCCAGAGCCGCTTTGTCCCGCGTGGAGGAGGTGGCAGAGCCGCGGGCAGGGAACTCGGACCGCCGCACCCGGACCTCCGACCACCGCCCGGCGAGCGGGGCAGCGGAGGCGGGGCGCGGCGCACCCCACGCCCGGGCCCGCGGGCCCCGCGCCCGCCCTGCGCCCGCGCCCGCCCCGCGCGGACAGGTGAGCCGGCCCGACCCCCAGAGCCTCGGACCCTCGGATCCCCGGACTCCCGGTCGCTCCTCCACCTCCGCCCCATCCCGCCTTCCTTCCGCGGCTCGGCTCGGGCGGACGCCCCGCAGGTCAGTTACGTAACCGTGCCGGGCCCCGCTGCGCCCGCACCCCGTCCCGCCCGGACCGAGCGCGGGCGCTGGGGACCGCGGCGGGGCTGGGGCGGCAGGGGCGGGAGGCCGCGGGCAGCGCTCCTGCCGGCCGTGGAGTCGGGTCCTCTGCGCCCCCCGTGGGAGGTGCTGGTCTGGGGACGCCCCTTCCCCTTTCCAAAGGGGCCGAGGTTGGGGTGTCGGAGTGGCAGCAGGTGCCTGCGGGAGGGCGCTTCCACCCCCCCCAAGACCGCGGCTTGGAGACCCCCAGGCGAACACCGACCCCATCCCCCTTTGGTGTCAAGCCCGAGCTCCGGCCCTGGGCTGGGAAGGCTCCGGCTTGGGTCATCTAAAAATAACCGCAAGTTTGAAAAGTGGAGTGGGCAGGAGCCCGCGGGGCCGGTTCCGGCAAGTCCTGGAGGGGGGCCGGGACCTGGGCCACCCGACCCACCCGACCCCGGCCCCCGCCCGAGCCTCGCTGGTTACCCAGGTACCTGGCTTTGACTCTGAGTGAGCGAGTTGTTCCCCAGGGCGTTTGCTTTACCCCCCCCCCCCCCCACGCGTGATCTTTTCCTGTGCTCGCTCTTCTGTTTTCTTGTATGGAGCCGGGGCGAGCTGATACTTGTCCACTGCTAAGGCCTTTTCATTTTTAGTATTTTTTTTTTTTTAAATCTTGGTGTATTAAGAACAATAAAAGTTTCTTGGCTCCCTTGGGTAACGTAATGTCATAATTTGCCACAAATGGAGATGAGAGGCTGGGACTGCGTCCTGGCTCTCGCTTCTTCTTTCCAGCCTTCTCATGACCGTGCAGACGTTTGTAAGACACAGGAGGAGGGGAATAATCCTCAACCGGTCCCCCGTCTACATTCTGAGGGTCCAAAGACCGTGGACATACCCCAAAGCTGGGAAGGACCCAGAAGCAGGCCGGCAGGGAGGGTGGAACAAGGTCTGGAATGTGCACTCGGCTGCTTTCCACCCATCGATTTCCTTTAGCTCTAGAGCTATTAGTTTAAGTATGATCAGTCATTCAGCTCAATTAGTCTAAAATGTGAGATGCATTTTGCTATCCAGAATCCACTGCAAATCAGATCAGCATTTATTGAGCACTTACTACCGAAGTCCCCAAAATAGGATTTAGGATTTTGTCTTCAACAAAAGCTAGGGGTTTCAGGATCTGTGAAAACAGTGTGTGCAAGTCCTGCAGAATTTGCCTAAGACTCAGCAGTCTTCTGGCTCTCTCTCTCTCTTGCAATGAGTGTTTAGCACCCTAAGTGTGAACTTGAAAGAAAGCTCTCTCATTTGCAAGTTCTCATCACCCTCTTAAAAAAAAACACGAAACCTCTTGCATAATCATTTTCCAATAGTCACATATATTGCAGAAACTAGCATTCTCTTTACTGAAGCTGTAGGACTGAGGTCAATTTCTTGCATTCCTTTTACTCTCTATGTGATCCACACAACTGATTCCCTAGCACGCCTACTGTGTGCTGCACAGGCCCCATGCCAAGTGTTGAAAGAATGAGGCCCATTTCTTTCCCCCAAAATTGATCTAGCAGGAAAGAAGGAGAAGAAAAATAAATGGTAGTGATTCAGCATGGTGAGTGTTTAATACAGAGAAGAAGGCATTCAGCGGGAGCCAAGGGTGGAAGGGCTCTGGAAGATGTGCAGAAGAGGATGCATTTGGTCCTGATCCCAATATGTGGTTAGCATTCTCCAGAGAGGGCACCACACACGTGGTGCAGAGGTCACATTTAAAGAACGCCTAGATGATTCCAGGTGAGGGGTTGGCAGAGAAGTTACTGAACATCTGGAGGTTACTCTACATCTGGGTTATGAAACACAGGCGAAACCATGCAGCCTTTAGTGGGCTGGATGATGATTTAATGTACGCTTGCCCAAAGTGATTTTGGAGGTGGTGACAAGGCAGAGAAGAATGAGCTCAGATTTCAGTCTGATCCAAGCCACCATTCCCCCACCTTAATAAACCATATAAAATGAAGCACCCACTAACCGGGGAGAAGGAGTTGTTGGATAGCTACAGAGAGTCCTTGTAGAGAGACAGCCGAGGGCCCCTGAGCACCTGAGCGGGCTTCGGTTTGGAGGAGTTTCAATGTTTTGATGGATGGCCAGGCTTTCTGACTGAGGTCATGAATGCCTGGCAAAGATCAGGTTTGAGAAAGATGTTGACCTTTTATGTTGAACATCCAAAGGTGGATGGTGAAGTAGGCATTTTTATTTTCAAAAGTAATTTCTTCATTCCTAGTTTGAGAAAGATGTTGACCTTTTATGTTGAACATCCAAAGATGGATGGCCAACTAGGCATTTTTATTTTCAAAAGTAATTTCTTCCTTCCTAGTGCTAACCTTTTGCTCATGTTATTTCCTTTCATCCACAAGGCAGTCAAGCATTTTGCCCTTGCAAAAAGAGGCTGCTGTTGAGCTTTATGTCCCAAAGTGGAAGTATTTGCGCAGTTATTTGAGCACTGCTAGTGGTCATAGAAATCCTCATTCTCCTCCTCATCTCTACCATTCATTCACTGCTTGCTTTATTCTGACCACAAAGAAGTTAGACTTGCATATGGATCATGTGACCCTGATGCTACTGAATTTATGATACTTATTATTTTCATAAGATAGACAATGAAAGAAAGCCAAGGTAGAGAGAGAATAAGCCACACAATTAGCAAGAGATACCCCAGTGTACAAAGCCAGGTTCTGAATTTGTGGGAATTCGAGCTAAGTCTGGAGCGCTTGTTTTCAAGCTCTGTATTTGACTCGCGGTGTAATGTCTGCACATCCACACCCCCTCTCAGGCTGATGTTGTTCCAAATCTATCAAATAGTGGGAGACACTGGCTAGGTGTTCTTCAGGGACTGTCCAGATACTCAAGTCCTTCCATCCTTTCTCAACTTCTATTAACAGAGCTGTTGATATGGATTTCCGTGGTGCCTTCTTGGTAACTTTTGGGATAGAAATACCTTGAGGGGCAAAAACTCAAAATGGAAGCTTGTTCTTCATGACTTGGTGTGAATGAGTCCACAGTGCGGAGCTAATGGAATGCCTAACGCTGGGAGATTTCGGGGGTGAACTCTGGGTAGCCATAGGGGGAGAAATCTCCATAGTAACTGGTCGCATTCTTTCCTGTTTGATTATTTTCTCATCTTTACAAAACCTGGAGTGATCGATGCATACATTATAAAGGGGCTGCAATGTAACATCAACCAAAAAGACAGCACTGTAAACCGGGTACCACAGAAACGGTGGCTTCATCAATGGTAAACGGGAGATGGGGATTCTCAGCATTAACCCAGGTCAGGAGACCCATGGGAAGGGAGGGGGGCATGCATCTGAAATCAGCCTTCCCTCCTTCGGTGTGTGACAAAGCCCGTCTTTTTGTTAAGTATCACTACATATACATTGGGAATATGAAAATATGCAGAACATTAAATATCTCCCACACGGTGGCCCTCACAAATACTCATCATACATTATCCTCATAGATGTAAAGAAGCTTCTGTTCCCACCATGTAAAGTTTTTAATTCTTCCTTTGCTGTCAAGCAATAGACTCACCTAAGGCTGATGATCTGGGTTCTTTGATTATGGCCTGGTATATGGAAAGAAATAATAACTTCTGTGCACCTGAGTGTGTGTGTGTGCATGTGCTTTGACCTCCCTGAAGAGCTTTCTGCTTCTGACTGTAAAATACTATCCTTGGATCTTTTTCCTTGTGAGTTACGACTAGATTAATTAATCTAGTTAACTGAAAGCCCTTAAGACATAATAAATTGTATGATTGCAGATGATACGTGCTGGAAGTTGAAGAAATGTTTTCCCAAAATATCTCTGATTTCCTACAGTTCAGGATGTCTACAAAAATATGTTTTCATAGTTCTTTGCATACTCAACTTATATTAATGAGCCAATAGAGCAGGGTTGCTAAGCTTTGGGATATAGACACAGAAAGACATTACGACGGTCGTTGCTGGACCAATGAATTAGATACTTTTTGAATAGGTACCAGTTTTTATTGCTGTTGCCCCAGTTCTTTGTGGGAATAAGGGTTTTATTTTTATTGTCCTTACATAATTGTACAAAGGAGTTACCAGGTAACAGCACAGTTTATGAATATAATGCGTTTTGAATGGTGTCACCCCTTCCAACATTCTCACCCATCTGTCCCAACCCACCCCTTTCCTTATACGTGTTTTCTTCTTTCTCTGATGATGTTGGGAATGAAGATGAAACACATGGACATGACATGGAAGGGCCAGGATTCCAGCCCTGGTGCTGTCACCTCCAGCTCTGTCACCTTGAGCTTCCTGTTGACCGTGGTCACAGGAGTGGGCATTCACGGAGTGCCATCCCCATTCCAGACACAGTGCCCAGCAAGCTATTTACATTATCTTATTTAATCCTTACAACAACGTTAGGGGATGTATATGAGCATCGCCACCTTGGACAGAAGAGCACATCCCGGGGGATGGGTCACTGTGCTATGTCTCTTGAGTTACAGTTCTCTGCAGTATTTGGAAAGTAGGATTTGATCCCTCCACCTCACAGAGGTGTAGAGATGATGTGCTAGGAGTTCGTGAATGGGCCCCCAAAATGTGATCACCTTGATAGGTGTGAAGGACAATGGCCATAGTGGGGACTTCCCAAGAGACCAGTCGTATTTGGTTTGGCAGAGAATCAGATCTGAGAGAAGGAAAGGTCAGCATAGAAAAGAAATATATGCAATGTGCAAGAAAATTGTACCACCTTGTTCTTTTCAATGGTACAAAGAATGTGTGTGTGTGTGTGTGTGCGCGCACACACACATATGCACGTGCAAGAAAGAGAGAGACAGAGACAGAGACTGAGATACAGAGAGAGAGCGTGTGCGTGTACTCTGTTTCCTGTGAATACCAAGAGTGGAAAAGGCTAGGCCATGGTAATTATCATGAAGCTGTGTCTGTCTGGTACAAGGGGAAGGAGACATGGTT